GAGGGAGAAGCAGACTCCCTGCCGAGCAGGGAGCCCGATGCGGGACTCGATCCCGGGACTCCAGGATCATGACCTGAGCTGAAGGCAGTCACTTAACCAACTGAGCCACCCAGGCGCCCCATATTTTTTTAAGTAATTTAAAATACTATGTAAACATACAGTAAAGACATTGGCAGTTGAGATTGGGAATAACCTGAGGCTATTTTTAAAGGATGTCCCAATTGCCCCTGTCCTAGTCCAGGTTTTTCTCACCTGGACAGCCACGGTCCCCACCAAACTGATCTCTCACTTCCGTGTACTATACACACCCCATTCGGGACCATTCTCTGCATGGAGACTGGGTGGTGATACACGTGGGAGTCCCGTTGTGCCCTGTCGCTGCCCAGACCCTTCAGTATCTTACTATTTCTATTGAATTAAGTCCAAGCTCTGTACCTTGTGAGGCCTGTGGGGTCTAGCCTTTGCCATTTACTCTGACTTCCTTTTAGGCCACCTCTTCTCTTGATCATTGCTTTAGTCAGACTGGTCTTCTCTGAGTTTCTAGAACATTCTGCACTGTCCTAGAGCAAGACCTTTGCACTTGCTGTTCCCTTTGCCTCAAGCACATTGCCCTTCACTCTTCTTCTGGCTGGCTCCCTGTCACCATTCAGGTCTCCATAATGTCCAGCCTCCTCAGAGAGGCCTTCCCTATCTGTCCTGTCTAAAGCGACTGTATCAGAGGCCCTACCTTTTTTCATGGCACTAGCAACAGTATATGGTGATTTCATTTCTTTCTTTACAGTGTTTCTTCAATAGAATATAAACAGCAGGATGCCAGAAACCTTGTGTGCCTTATAACCCACGTGCTCAGCACAGCACCTGGCACAAGCAGGCACCCAGACCATTTGAATGAAAGGAGGATAATTCTGTTGTGAGGCCCACTGTGGGTGCTCTTGGGTTCCCTGATTTACCTCGCGCAGTGGTTGATAGACTAGTTGGTAACTGAAAATGTTATACTTTCATTTCCTCTCAAAGTTCTTGAAAGAAAGACTTCTTTTTTTTTTTTTTTAAGATTTTATTTATTTGTCAGGGAGAGCACGAGCAAGGGGAGCGGCAGAGGGAGAAGCAGGCTTCCCACTGAGCAGGGAGCCCGATGCGGGGCTTGATCCCAGGACCCCAAAAAAAAGACTTCTTAAATGAAATTAAGAATTCTGTTTGTGAGACTATATTCAAGCGTTATTTTTTTCATGAGGAAAAAAGTTGTGGAAGCTTAAGATACACATTTTCAAGAAATTTTAGTTGTGGTAAAGAAAAGTTTACCATCTTACGTGTATAGTTCAGTAGGGTTAAATACATCCACATTGTTGTCCAACAGCTCTCCAGAACATTTACATCTTGCAAAACTGAAACTCCATACTCACTACACACTAACTCCCCATTTCCGTCCTCCCTCCCAGCCCCTGGCAACCACCATCTACCTACTGTCTCTGAGTTTGACTCCTGTGGGTACCTCATATCCATGGAGTCATGCGGCATGAGTCTTTGTAACTGGTTTATTTCACTTAGTGTAATGTCCTCAGGGTTCATCCATATTGAGCTTGTGAGAGAATTTCCTTGCTTCTTAAAGATGAGTAACACTACGTTGCATGTATACGCCATGTTTTGTTTCCCCATTTATTGTGAGGTAGACATTTTAATTTCTGTAATATTTGAGACTTCTCTCGGGTTCTGTTGGGAGCTCAGTGAAATAAGGTTTGAGGGGTGTGTGTGGAGCTGTGTTTCTAGAAGGTGAATCCCCTTTCTGTGTTCTGGTGTCAGATCCAGTGCTTAAAGCCGTCCCTGTGCCCAACATGGCACCTTCGGCAGTCGGCCGGGAAAGACACTCGTGTGATGCCCTGAATCGCTGGGTAAGAATGGCGGTCGTGTGCTCTTTCTTCTCCACCCCAGACGGGGTAACACGTGCTCACGTCTGGGACGTCAGCCCCCGGGAGGGACGCTCCTGTGGAGGTACCGGGCCTCCCTCTAGGGCTCTTCCTCGGGTCACCGCTCCCCGTGCTGCGTGACATCAGGCAGGGCCTTGCAGCATGACCCCCGCAGGTGACCCTTTCCTGGCAGCTGAGGCCGGATGGGGGCCGCACTGAGCGGCTGTGGTGGCGTCAGAGGGCGCGTGAGCCGGAGCCCCTGAGTGCCCGGCCGTCGGACAGCAGGGACCGGGGGCGCTGGGCTCCGGCTGCCTCTCGGCGCTGAAAGCGCGCCTCCGGGACTGTTGTGTGAAGAACGTTGTAAACAGTGTCGGGGTGCCCGCCACAGCCGTGTCGGCCCTGGTGTAGCGTGCCGTCGTGCCCCCAACGGCTTGGGTGAGTCCGTTAGGATCCATCGTGCAGCGACGTCCAAAACAGCCAGAATCAACCATGTAGCTGGACGTTTAGGGCAGGAAGGAAATGGTCATCATTAACTTACGTGAAAAGCTGCAGGTTACCGCCCAGCATGAACAGTGGTGTGTTTTATGGCGATAGAAAATACGCAGAGACCCAGGATGGGTCTGTCAGACGTCAGCAGTGGGCGCTTCTCAGTGGTGTGTTGTGGGTAATTTTTATTTTATTCTTTCGGTTTACCTGTATTTCCTAGATTTTTCTACACTGCAGTTGTATTTTTTAGTAACAAAAAGTGTAAAACTTTTAGTCCATTTAAAAAGAAGTGGCCATAAGTATGCAAAGAGAATCAAAAGACTCCGGGAGCCTCCAGGGCCTGGGGCCGAGTGGGTGAGGGTAGGTGCGAAGACCGGGAGGCCGTCCCTGGGGGAGCCTCCTCATTGTGCCCTTGTCCCTGCAGCTGGGAGAGCAGCTCAAACAGCTGGTGCCCGAGAGTGGCCTCACGGTCATGGATCTGGAAGTGGAGGGCGTGTGCATCCGGTTCAGCCCTTTGATGACAGCAGCAGGTAACCGGTCTCCGTGGGTTGCCCTCCCTCGTTCTGGAAGTGACAGTGACATGTCCGTGAAAGTCCGGGCGGTGGTTCATTTGCTTTTCCTTGGGATACTCTGCCCTCTTTGAAGACGCTTTTTCTTTGCCTTTGGGCTACATTTAGGTAGATGAGCTTTCCAGGGTAACGTCTCAGAAATACTTCTACGGTCACTTGAGCCTCCCTGTGTTTTGGTGTCTTGTGACCCTTTGCTGTCTCCGCCGTGGCGCTCTGTCTGCCTGGGAGAAGCACTTGTGGGGCTTTGGGCTCCCAGCAGCTGGGCCGCCTGCGGAGACTCTGGGCTGCGGGGAGCGGAGCCTGCTCAGGGCTCCCCTGGCGGTTCAGACAGACCGCGATGGCGGAGGCCACCGTTTTAGACGTTTGAGAAAGCGGGACGGCTGCAAGTACGTGGGCTTTTACGACAGAATGTCCTGGGTGCGCGTCCAGACCTGCTCCCCGTTCCTGTGTCGTAGCGGTGTGGGATCCCGTCCGTGAAGTGCCTTAGGTGCCCGCCTCCGGGTCGTGGGACTGAACAGCCCGCTAACAAAAGATACATTAAAAACTGATGATGCTTTATTTCTGAGATGATTTAAAGATTTTTCAGAAAATCTTTGATTTTTTTTTTTTTTTAATGAGATATTTTTAACATTTTGGGGAAGATAATTGCTGGAAGACCTCAAAGTAGCAGGCATTTGTCCTGCAAAGAAAAGCCCGCCACGAAGATGACTGGTGGCCTCCCGATCTTCCAGTAGTTTCTGCACGTGGTGTGCAGGGGGCTAAACCTGGCACAGCGAGCTGAGGACACCCGAGGCAGCACGTACGGAGGCTTAGTGTGAGCCCTTCCCCCATTTGAGTCGCACGCACAGGGTAGTGATGTGGGGTCCCTGCCAGCCCTGGGGGCTCTCAGGCTGTCCTCGGTGCTGTTGTCGTCAGCCCGCCCTCCTGCCTCCCCCTCACACACCCGCCAGAGTCCCCTCTCCCAGGGATGTCCATGTGGAGAGAGCCATGTGCTTGCCTCATCCTTAACAGCCTGCAGTACGATGTTGATAACTTGAGCAGAGTCCTGAGAGAAGAATCTGATTTCCTGTTAGAGTTTCATTGTGTGTTACATCAGGGGGCTGATTCTGTCTTCCGTGTAAGAGGGAAGCGTGTCTACACCTGCAGGAGCTGCTGTATCAACTTAGAGCACCCGATTTTTTCCATATGGGCTTAGTGGCCTTTTTTTTTTTTTTTTTTAATGCTTTAGCTCCTGCTAACCAGACGTCCCTGGAGCTGCTGACCTCCCTGACAGTGGGAGGGGAGCCCTGCCCTCTGGCTTCCGCCATGTTCCTTACACGTTTCTCTAACACTCGGGGACGTTTTCAGTTTTAGGCACTCGGGGAGAGGATGTGGATCAAGTCGTGGCCTGCATCCAGAGCAAGCTGCCCGTCCTCACCTGCACACTGCAGCTACGGGAGGAGTTCAAGCAGGAGGTGACAGCAGCGGCAGGTCTCCTGCACGTCGATGACCCGAACTGGCCTGGAATAGGGGTTGTCAGGTACGCGTTCGTGCCGCTCTGCCGTGTAGAGACCGTGGGTGCGGACCGGCTTAGAAATTGGCGGTGAATGTGTGTGGTCACAGCGAACATGTCCAATGGAAGGAAATGCAGCAGGATGTTCTGGGCGTGTAGCAAAGCCCAGCACAGCGGTGGTGTGGCCACCCTTGCCCTCGGTGAAGTAGCGGTCCCTGTACTTCCCATGCCAGCTTGCAGGTGACCGCGGGGCGGGGACATGTGCAAGTGCACAGCTGACAGATGCTTACTCGCATGGGGTACAGAGTCACTAAGGATTGCTAAGACCGAGAACCCCCTCGCCGGCTGAGCACACGCCTCTGGCTTCCGTCGTTGGTTATCCCTGTGGCTGTTTTCCGTCTCCTTCCAGGATGAGGGGAAACTCCCTGCTTCTGTTACAAATGAGGCTTCCAGACCTGGCCTCTCTAAGTTTCATGGACCGAAGACTTGGGCCTTCCTTGCTGTGTTCTTGACACTATCTGACCTTGAGATGCTCAAGTGGCTCCTTGGCCCATGTGTCTCACATCCTTGGAAATCACCAGTAGCTTAGAACCCCCCCTGCAGTCCTCCCGTGTGCGAAGAGGTGTTTGATCTTTTAGATTGAAGTACTGTTATTTGATGTTTGTAGGTATGAACATGCTAATGATGATAAGAGCAGTTTGAAATTAGATCCAGAAGGGGAAAAAATTCATGCTGGACTCCTGAAAAAGTTAAATGAACTGGAATCTGATCTTACATTTAAAATGGGTAACTACTACTTTTATAAGTCAACTCTTAACTTGGGAAGGCCTTTTCTAACTGGTTAAGGGACAGGGGGCTGTGTCCCCTCAGAGGAAATGCTGGTTTAGTTCTTTCTAGGGTGAGCTAGCTCCCTCCCCCTCCTGCAGCCTCTCCGGGCGTCCCGTGTCCCCGTTAGCATCGCTTCCCTCACCCCATGGGGGAGGCTCCTTTGTGCGCGGCCTTGTGACCAACGACTTGGGGACCAAGTTGGTCGGTCGTTCCTTCCCACAGGCCCGGAGTATAAAAGCATGAAGAGCTGTATTTACGTTGGCATGGCGAGCGACGACGTGGATATTTCTGAACTAGTGGGGACCATTGCAGTCACAGCCCGAGAAATTGAGGAGAACTCACGGGTCTGTAAGACTGATCTGTGTCTCATTCCTTTTCTGGGTTTGCTCCAGGCAGGTAGCTGAGGTCCCGAAGGAAGAAGCTCCCCTCAGAAACATCTGTTCGTTCCCAAAAAGCGTGTGAATGCTTCCCATGAGCTAAACCTTGTGCCAGGAATCCAGAAGCCCACGAAGACTGGACACAGCCCCTGCCCTGGGTGGGCTCAGCACTGGGGGGCCGAGATCCACATAGCCGGGCAAGGCGGCAAATGCCGATGGGGAGAAGTTAGGGGTAGCAGAGCATTCGGGAAGACGCGGCCACGTCTGCCTGAGAGGGTGAGGGGAGAGTTCCTGAGCGTAACTGGTCCTGGTGCTGCATGAGGCACATGTTTCTCACAGCAGAACTTCCCGCCAGTAGTAGACCTCCTTTTAGCCAATTGGCGCGGAGACCAGGCTGTAAGCTTCATGGTCGTTCTGCAGACCAGGTACTTGAGTCAGTAGAAATCCCTGAGAAGCAGAGAAAAGGAACTAAAGCAAGAGGGGTCTGAGGAGACCGGGGCGTGTGCGCGGCGGCCCACTCCTGGTAGGAAGTTGGCTGTGAGCCTGAGGAGCCGGCTTTATTCATTCTCCGGTGGACTTCCTAAAGGTTCTGCTGAACTCACTCTGTCACTTCCGATTCCACTTCCATGAATGTTGAGCAGTGTCTGTTTTCTGTTGGTAAGACATTCAGATCACATTTCTCTTCTCCTTTCGCTGGCAGGTGAGGCTGGTCACCAGGGCGTGTCTTACCCTTATCCAGGCATTTTATCCTCTTCTGTTTAATTTCCTATTTTACTTTGTATCCTGATATTTTAAAAAGTGCAGAATTCCATTTACTAATATACCTTTGAAAAATGTCGCACGTGCTGTGGTAATAGTTCTAGGTCTCAGGCAAGAAGGTTAGACAACTGGGGCATCTGGGTGGCTCGGTTGGTTGGGTGTCTGACTCTTGATTTTGGCTCCGGTCATGATCTCAGTGTCCTGGGATCGAGCCCCACGTCAGGCTCTGTGCTCAGCACGAAGTCTGCTTGGGATTCCCTCTCTCTCCCTCTTCTCCTCCCCACACTTGCGTGCACTCTTTCTCTCTAAATAAAGTCAAATCTTTAAAAAAAAAAAAAAATCTTGGACAAGTAATGTCTTCCTTGGTCCTAACACAGCTTCTGGAAAACATGACAGAGGTGGTTCGGAAAGGGATCCAGGAAGCTCAGGTTCAGCTGCAGAAGGCAAATGAGGAGCGACTTCTGGAAGAGGTGAGGCTGAGCACAGAGCTCCCAGCTGACGCCACACTGGGAGCCCCTGGCGGGATGGTCATGAGCAATGGTTCTGTTTTGCAGGGGGTGTTGCGGCAGATCCCCGTCGTGGGGTCCGTCCTGAACTGGTTTTCTCCAGTACAGGCTTCACAGAAGGGGAGAACCTTTAACTTAACAGCAGGTAGGACTGACGAGTGTCATCCCAGGTCTCATTTTGACCCAGTTCCAGTGATCCCACACACGAGTGGAGGAGCCCGGTGCCCACATGGCCCATGCTCCGCACTGGGTCTGCCCCGGGGACACTGCGGTGTAGCGTCTTCTCTCTCCGGCCCCCACTGCTGCAGCCGCACGAGAGCAGACCCCTCTTCCTGGAAGCCCGTGGGAACGTGCCCCTTGGCCATTCGTGTCCTCCACATGGTGTCTGTTGCTCAGTGCTCAGCGTTAATACTTGTTGCGGTCTCACTAGTGCTTGGCCTCAGCAAGAGGCTGCTTCTGAAAGGGGAGATGAGAAGCCTGGAGTCCGGAGCACCGGGCCAGCTTATTTGAGACCAGGCCCCCAGCAAGTATGAGCAGTTGCCGGCACTTGGGGGAAGATGATGTCCTGCTGTCGGTCTCTTCCTGTTCTGTTCTACTCGGGGAACAGCTCCCTCAGCCTGGGGCCCCTCCCTAGGAAATGATGGCTGCAATCTCCTAGGACTGTAATCTGATTTTTGAACACGCCAGCCTTCAGCAGAGAGGCATCTGTTCCTTGCTGCTGAAGCACGCTTTCCCATTCGCGCGTGGATCCCCAGGCATGTCCCAGGGATGCAGGGTCCCTGGAGAGGTTCAGGGTGGAACACCCCAGCAGGGCTGGGCCTCGTGAGGAGCGCTGTGAGGGGCTTTCTCCAGTTCCCAGTGCGTTTCCGGAGGGCCGAAGGCTCTGCTGGTCTGAGCAAGGCTCAATAGCCGGAGGAAGCTTCTAGGGGGACGAGGCTGCATGGGTCAGCTCCCAGGGCGGCCTGTGCCAGGAGTTTCTGCACACACTTCTCTCTCTTTCGTCGGCAGGCTCCCTGGAGTCCACGGAGCACACCTACGTCTACAAGGTACAAGGCACGGGAGTCACACCGCCGCAGACCCCCTCGGGCACCCGCACGAAGCAGAGACTTCCAGGTACAGGAGAACTGGTGCTTCCTCTTGGAACATAGACCCTTACGTCCTGGGGGGCTTTTCCTGTTCGGTGTTACCTGCATCCTTTTGTTTTCTCTTCACTTAAGACTGGTTGTCCTTTTAACTATGTCCGTCGCCTTGAGCTTTAAACCGTGGAGAAATTTCTCCGTAGCACTTCACGGGGGTAGTTAGGGTCTTGAGAGCTGGCATCATGTTTAAGCTGTCCTCGCCTGAGCTTTTCCTGATGGGGACCTCAGAGGTTCCCAGCCTCAGGAGCCATGTTGGAGTCCTGCCAGTTCTCATTTCTCACTTCCGGGGCATCAGAGCCTGGGATCGGAGGGGTTTCTCCAGAAGCACTTGGGATTAAATAAAGTGGTCGCTCGTTGCAGAGAGCTTTCAGCACTGTCCATGGCTCTTTCTCTAGGTCAGAAGCCTTTTAAGAGGTCCCTAAGAGGTTCTGATGCTCTGAGCGAGACAAGCTCGGTCAGCCACATTGAAGACTTAGAAAAGATGGAGCATCTGACCGGTGGGCCAGAGCAAGATGCCCTGGAGACCAGCAGCCCCGAGCCCCACCCTGGGGCTCCCACCCCGCAGGACACCGAGCAGACGGGGGCCCTCCAGAACGGGGCCCAGCACCCAGAAGATGACCGTCCACAGGTAGAAGAACTGGAGAGCTTAAGATAAAATTCACTGTTTTGCTTTGAGACTGTACTGAGTATTGTTTCAGGGAGGATGAAGTTATACTGAAAATGTGAACCGTGCCACGTGCTAATGCAAGAGAAATTACTGTTATTTGTGCTTAACTGGGATTTTTTGCACAAATACGTGCCTGAAAGCCAGGCTTTTTAGAAGGGCAATTGACTTGTCTAATTCCACTAGTATGCGGAGCAACTACTGTTGTTTCTGTCTACCCAGCTGTCATTAATGCCGTTTTTCCCCCGTTACCATAAACACTTGGATTCACAAAGAACTCTTAGAATTTCAAGTGCCTGCCACTTGAAACACTTGCGGTTACCGTTCTGAACGTAAGTGTAAGACGTTGTATGAGGTTACGTATAACTTTTTGTTAAGACAGCTTTCTTTAGAACTCTCTGGGTTCTCCGCTGTACTGCTGCTCGGGAGAGACAGCTGGCTTTCCATGTTGGAATTGGTGTTCAGTTTGGGCAGGTTGTGTGGATTTGGCTTGAAGGAGAACGGGATTCAGTGGGATTGAAAGAGAGCCCACGCCCGCCATCCCCCCCTGCTGCTTCCCTGGGGGGCGTGGGGGCGGGGAAGCCCCCCTGCCGCAGATCCACTTCTCCCTTTATGTACTATTTGTAAACAAATTAAAGGACTATCTATGAAGAGTAACTGTAAAACTCTTGACCATATACATGTATATTTTTAAATATTGGTAAAGCTTTTAAATTGGCACACAGGTACAGACTGTGCTCATTTCTATGTTTAATATCCGAAAACCTGATAGAGATGCTACTCTTAACCTAATTATTAACTATGCTGTGTAGCACCCAGTTAAGTTTCAATTCTTAAATAAGTATCCCTTTGACCCATTTGACATGGGAGCTTCTGTGGCTTCTCCCCACTAGCAACTCACCCCTTTGGGCCCAGCTCAGAAACAAGAACCAGGAAAGTCATCTTGCTCAGGCTAGTCAAGCCAGACCACTGCAGAAATAACTGGAAGCCCTTAAATACTGCCTGTTTCTACTTTTCTAGAAGTACCGCGTCTCCTCATTTATCCTAGCTAATGGCCCCTGTGCCTTTAGTCCAGCCAAGTCAAGCTACGGGACACCTCAAGATAGTGGGGTTTCACACTGGGTTTGTGAACTGTCATGTTGGAAGCCTTAGTTACACCATATTAAGCCTATAATTAGACTCTGATTGGATGTGATCTCCTACATTTGGCACTTGTCAAAATGCAATTTTTTGTGTGTGTGCAGATGATTAAAGTCTTCCCTGTTTATTTGGTGCAATGAAGTATAGCAGATAAAATGGGGAAAGGGGAAATTATCACCTTTAACAAGATTAATTTTTAAATGTTTTTATATATATTTGGAATTGTTAAATTGGTTTTGCTGAAACAGAATTTCACCCTTAAGACACTATTTGAATGTTGGTTTCAATAAAGGTTCTTGAAATTGTTACCAGTGAGTTCAGTTTCTACACAGTAATTAGGCATTGTGCTTGCCGCCTTTAGGGTAGCAACTTCAGAAACCTAAAAGTCTCTAACAAGTGTAACTGGCATATATCACAATGTGGGCATTTTAACGACCTTACACTAAAAGAACAGACTGACCAGTGGCTCTGTGTAACTCTCACGTTAAATGTAGTCTCCTAGGAGATTATTTTAATTATATTGCACAGCAGACTGATCAGATTCTGAACTTTTCATCTCCATCTAGAAGTGTAATACCAGTTTTAATTGATGTTTCTAAAACATTTTGGGGCCAAAAAAAAACCCCTCGGTGAGATGCATAAATTGTCACAGAATTTCAGTGCATTTTAAATACTGTTTATCTGTACTGTACTTATCGTTTTTCCTTTATTCCCTGACTAAACAGAATTAATACTCACCGCGTATCCGAAACGGCAGCTTGTCCAGTCGCGAGGCAGGCAGCCCCTCTGGTGCTCGTGTTACCAAGAAGGAGAGGCTGGAGGTCAGCTTCAGCGAGCAGAAAGTAAACCTAAACAAATGCCTTTGCCAAAATAAGATTTTATTTTGAAAGTCATTTGAAGGACAGTAAGGAAGGAGACCTAAGACTCAGCAGATGTAGATTCTGATGCGCATTCTTTGCAGCCCCCACGGTGGTCTTTGTCAGGCCAACAAGTTGCTTTCTTTGGTGATCCCGTGTTTAGCTTCCTGGAGAAGAGATCTTTTCCCATAAGCCACCTTCATTCTTTTTGTAGAGCAGAGCCTTGTTTCCAGGAAACAGTGCGCTGGTGGGAGATGGGTGTTTTTTTAAAAACATCAAGGTAGACCTAATATGTTCCACAAAGTGGGGCGGCTCAGCCAGAGGCGAAGTGGAAAGGTTCTGGAAAAACAAGATTCCGCATATGAGAGAGGAAGAACCTGGCTCTGTTACCCTCCATGATAGCGCTGTCGAAGTATCTCCGTGTTCTTAAACGTGGATCTGGATGTTCAGATCACCCAGTATAGATCCACGATAAAATTACCTAGAACGTGAGGGGTCCTGCAGTAATGGGAAAAGAGCAGTTGCTTGCAGACTCCTTCCGACCCATGCAAATGCCTGGCCGGGACCTGACTTCTCTGCTGATCTAGAAGTTAAACGGGGTCTGCCGATAGCATCCTAAAAATAACTACTACCCACCACAAGAAAAGCGCCTCTGCTCTAAACTTTTTTTTTTCTTACAGATGAAGAAACCAGGGTACAGAGAGTTAGGATTCACCCAACCTGTAAATTCTCACCTCTAGTATTTGCTTATCGTCTTGCTGCAGCCAGAAATCCACGTGTGGAAAGGGCATCCAGGAATACGGTCCTATACGCAGTTGCTCTGTCTTTGCGTCGTAAATACTAATCATCTAAGAAGGAACATTTCCAGGCAGAATGTAAGGCATGTTCCCCGCTTCTCAAACCCCACCAGTAACACCAGCCCAGTGCAGTCCAGCGGTCACGCGTGTACCTGGAGGCTAAGCTGCTCGAAAACGTCTCCTGATAAAAGCCGCTACTGCCCTGTGTAACATGCGGTATTTCCTCCAGTCCTGACAACAGTCATTGAGGAAGATAGTGTTTTTCCCATTTGGGGTGAAAACCTGAGGCTCAGGGGGGCAGACAGTGGGCCCGCAGCCGAGCCCGACCCAAGTCCACGGCGGCCGGACTCACTGCTGCACAAACCTGTGCCCAAGCACCCACGCACCCGCATCTCCAGAGCACACCGTGCAGGCCGCCCATCGAAAGCCAGGAGAAACCAACTTGTACAAACGCTCATTTGCCCAACGATCAATTCCCCAAATCCCCTCAGCTGCCAGTGGCAGGTTCGAACCAGCAGCGCTGGGTTTGGGCTCCTGAGACTGAGCTAGGGCTGAAGTTAGCAGAGTCCAGACCACCGTGCGGCTGCAGAAAGTGCAGAAGGAACCTTCCAGCTGTGCACTGGTTGGCAAAAGAGATCGCTCTGAAGCCAAACATTTCTCCAACGAAAACGTCCACACCCCATCCGTGTGCACACCTCTGCGGGGAGGGGGTGGGGGGTGAATGCGCTGTCGGGTCTCTCACACCAGAGAAGGGGTGAAAGCACCCTTTAAGTATTTTTAAACGGCACGTAAGGCTTGGGTTTTTATTTCTCTGACTTCCAAAATTAAGGTGTTAATATTCAAAAGCATCCCTGGCGATCAAACTTGTAAAAACTGATCTGATCATTCTTTTGGATTAATCCACTTGTTCCAGCAGATGGCCCTTCAAGGACTTGGTCCAAAGGAGCGTGTGCTGCTGAGGGAGAAACCCCTTCTTCCCCCTGCCTGGGTCTCCTTTCCTTGTGGGACATGTAGGTAAAGGTTGCACCAAGTAAAAGGGGTCCGTTCTCTTTGCAATGAATGGTGGGGCACATGTTCCCTCCCTCTACACCTTCAAGGCAGAGAACTGGGGTCTTGAGCTTACAACCTAAAATCACTCATTATTTTTCTTTGTTGTGTGTGGGGGAGAGAGCGAGCTGATCCCTGATCATTTTATAGCTTTAAAGAAACTCGAACTTTTCACTTCTAAGGTCTACAAAACTTGAGGCTTTGGACTGCGATGCCCTTTTTTCTCCCCCCCTGAACCCCTTAACACAAAGATGATTTCAAACTCACTGGTCCTCCTGTTAAAGCTCGGGCAGCACGGAGCTCCTCCTCTGGACCCCGATCTGGGAAGGATGCTCGGTAAATCTCTGCCGTCTTAATGTTGACAGCTGTGGGGGGACAAACAACATTTTCTCTGACTAAAGACACAGATGGAAAGTTTGCATGGTCTTACATTTCTACCACCTGTAACAGAGCGTGGTGAGTCTCCCCGAGAGAGAGAGAGAGGAGAGTCATTCTGTTCCATTTCCACTGTGAGGAGTGTAGCTTCCCCCTTCGTGCAGAGGGAAACTCCCGTGCGGGCCTCTGACCACCGTCCCGTCGCAGCCGAGCCTGTCGCGCACACGGCAGGGCCTGGGCCAGACTTGGGAAGACTTCGCCCCAAACCAAGAGTGGCTCCCCCTGCGCCCACGGGCAGCCCGCCATCCGTCCAGGCAGGCGCGTGGCAAACCTCCCTGCTCGGCCCTGGGACCACACGGATCTCTGAACGGCTGGGGGCAGAAGTGTGGCCTGGGATCACGGCCAAATCTGGTGTTTTTGTTTAAATGTTAAATGTTCTAGGGAATGGAGTAACACGTGTGTACCCGGCTCCATACGCTATCACAGATGGGACAGAAGTCCTCTGCAAACACAGCTAGCTTCCCCCTGCTCAACCTCAGCGGCCCCAGGGTCTGTCGCAGGAGAGGGTTCTGGGTTTTCTGGAGCCCGAAGAACTTTACACTTTGCTTAGGAGGAACTGGGTTCGCGACCAGACCTTACCAGGTGGTTCATGTGTAAAGAGACGCGAATGCCCGCTCCTGACCCCGGAGCCCTGTTCCCCGTGCCACTGGCTCTGCTTTCTACCCGCTCCCTTGTTTGTCCTTGTGCTCTCGGGCTGTGGACATTCTTGGTTTCGTAGCCAGAGGGCAGAGGAGGCATGCTGCTTGCCCGGGGCCCGCAGAGGAGTGAGGACAGGAACCTACACAGTGAGCACGGCCGGCTCACGACGTGGTGACCGGAGCCCGCCCTGCCGGCCCGGGACTGGCCTCTGACCCTCAACCAAACACGCTACTTACCGATGCCATAAATTACTGGAAAGTGGTTTTCGTTTTCTTCCCGGTCATTTAATTCTAACAAAAAAAAAAAGGTTCTTTTTAAGATCTAAGAAATACGCAACAATTGCTTTCATGTTCCACAATTAACGCCAAGAGGGAGCCCACACTGCAAAAGGAGAAGAAAATCGGAACACACAAGGGACCGTTTTCCTGCGTCCCTGCCAAGTCCCCGAGCAGGGGGGTCCCCGAGCAGGGGGGCTGACGGTCCGCAAAGCGCCCCGTCCCGAGTTAGAGCCTCCCGGCCCCCTACACCCTCAGCCATCCGCCACGCGTGGGGAAGGGGCCGGGGAAGGATGAAGGTGGGGGTCAGGGTGTCCTCGGAGGCGGCGCGGGGGAGGGGCGGGCCATGGCCAACACCAGTGGCACACACGTCAGCCAGGCGCTGCCAGACTGTCTCCCGTGACCGACGTGCTTGTGCGAGGTCTTGCTTTGAGGGTGAGGGCACCAGCTCTGGGGAGGATGGCAGAACTCACCTGTCACACACAGTGTCACTAAGTGAATGTCCTCCTCTTGTCTGTCAAATTCACCTACAACGAGAGTTTCTAGTTAGCACACAGGCTGAGCAAGGCGACAAGGGGCCAGATTCCCACGGAAGGACGCCACGGCACCCCGCGGGCCAAGTGACAGGCCCGTTCCCAGCCTCGGGCCCAAAGCAAACTGACCGAGGCTATCCCCTCCTCTCTCCCTGCTGAGGCCTGTGGGGGACCGCTGACGCGTAAGCTTTTTACTCTTAAGCAACAGTTATAAAAAACTTGATCACTGTAAAAAAACAAAAAAACAAAACAAAAGGAAATACAGGCAAGTATAAGGAGCATATGGGTTTTTACTGGTCTAAGTACGTGGGTTGTTTTTTTTAAAGATTTTATTTATTCATTTGATATACAGATAGAGAGCATGAGCAGGGGAGAGGCACAGGGAGAGGGAGAAGCAGGCTCCCCGCCGAGCCAGGAGCCAAATGTGGGGCTCGATCCCAGGACCCTGGGATCATGACCTGAGCCGAAGACCGACGCTTAACCATCTGAGCCACCCAGGTGCCCCTAAGTACGTGGGTTTTTAAGGTCCATAGTCCCAGCAGTGAGCAGCGCGTGCATTTCCTTTCTTCCTGGCCTGCGCCCCGCTGAGCCCACTCCAGGTGGGCAACTTTATGTCCCCACGACACACCTACCTTCCCACGTAATTCTAAGTCTTGCTTAATAGCTCCTGAGCTGTTTCTTTACTGATGGACGTTAGACTATTTCCTAACGTAAAGAACGTTCTTACTGCCCATCTTTGGGCATACGTCTCTGCGCACGTTGCAGGTGATTTTCTTAGATTCCCAGGTGGGAATTACTGGGTCAAAGGACATGAAACCTTTTTAAGACTCAAGCCAAGGGGCGCCTGGGTGGCTCAGTCGTTGGGCGTCTGCCTTCGGCTCAGGTCA